TTCAAAGCCATCACACTAATCTTCTATGCAAATAAGACATTTCCTGGACTTGTAAACTAAAAACGTCTTAAAAACTGGAAACAATTGCGGTTTTGTGCTTAAGAAAAATGGAGAGCAGTATTTAGTCCTGGCAGACTCTCTTCCGCCCCTTCCCAAAACCAGAATTCAGTTCTCATATCAGGTATGAAGCGCTGTTACAGTTCAGAGTGGAAAATTAGGACCTGATCTTGCAAAAAGAAACAGCTTCCCCTTATAACGTGTCTCAAAGACAGGCAATAAACCCCAGCCTTTAAGCAGTGCCTTCTATAGAGAGGCCAGCAGAACTGCATTGGTGTTGCTCAATTAGCCATGAGAAAAAATGCTAGGAAAAATGGAAAATAATCCAGAACAAACAGATTAGATCTGGAGATACTAGTCATAATATTTTCTTCCTTCCTGTATTCTCTCTGCCTTACTGCTCCCCTCCCCACCAAGTATTTGTAATAAAAGCAGATTTCCCATCTTCTCTCTTTCCAGCTAGCAATCTAAGGGAAAATAAAAAAAAAAAAAGGGAGGAGGAGGAGGAGAGAATAAAAAGATTTACTCTCTCTGCACATTCATTATAAAAGTTTCCAGGCACAATAAACCCTGTGGGCATGGAAAAAATATAACAGTGCTTCTTCGTCAGGCTTGAGGTTGCTGGAGGATAATCAGTAAAACATGTCTTTAAAAAATCAGAGGAAAAGCATGAAAGTATTTCAGAAGGAAAAAATCCCACCAAATTATGCAAAAGGACTTTATTCGGGTAGGGGAAGGAGGATGGGGGAAACAGGGTAGACAGAGCTACTTATTTTGCAGAAAAACCTATTGTAAGCAGCTTTTCTCTCTAATCAATTAGGAACATGTACTACTATTTGATGGAGCAGCTATGCCTTTGAAGAACCCCTGTGATGTATGGTTTGATTCTGGAAGATCATACATGTAGTGCATGTAGAAGAAAAACTCTGCACCCTGCAATTTTAAAGGTTTCCCAAATAAGTCTGATGCTCATGTGGTTCTTTGTGGTACACTGCAAACAAACAGAACTTCTAACCGCATCAGGAACACACACAGAATACATGAATAAGGATTTGGAGTTGGCCTGGAAGGATACAATACAGAGGTCCCAGAGCAGAGCTGTGTTGTTGAAAAGAACTTTGTGCTCACATCTCCTCCCCGAAATCTGTGACCATTTCTATGGATAGTCTTCCATCTTCATGAACCACAAGGAAGATCAACAAGTTCCAAGTAAACTCAGCTGGTGAAATGTTGTCTATGTCGCATTTCAAGTGGTTGACATTAGTTGTGAATTCCTGAAGGAATAACTTACGGTCAGCTTGTGATGCCCTCCTCAGGCCCTCTGTCCACTTTGCTTGCCAACGCCTAACAGTGAGCTAGCAAACAGCACCTAACATCTGCCTTTGAGAAACCATACCCTGTGTATAGTGTCTCAGGAATTTCCTCCCCGCAAAGACTGGAACAGTACTAGAATACGTTACAAATTACTAATGGAAATTTGGTGTTTTGCCCAAGAAACCTTCCATGAAAACTGACAGGTTTAAGACATTCATGAGCTGACAATAGCAGCAAAATGACAAAACTCCTGAAAAGAGCCAACTGTTTTTTCATACTTCTTTTTAGCAAATACTCAACGGACCAAATGTGTTTTAAGCTCTTGAAATGGGTTGAGGCTTTCCAATTACTCTAGGAACTAGGGAAGTTCAAGAAGTACTGTGAATTGTCAGCTACAAGAACTGCCTGCAGAGGCAGACCAAGGATGTTTCTTTTCTTGAGGACAGCACCTATATAAATCCACAAGGAATGAACAATGGTCTAAATATCTTATAACAGCTATTTGCATCTAAACAACAAAGGTATTGAAATAGATGGATAAAGACAATCTTACTTGAGACACAAAGCACTGGGACACAGCTCAGAAGACCTTATGTCAACACTCATTGGGCAAAACTCTTTCCAGGATAATGAGAATGAACAGATTCAAAATGCTAAAAATAGCTCCAGGTTTTTTCCTACCGTGAAGAATTTGAGCTGGAATCAACTTCTCCCTCCTGATGGGAAACAGACTGTTCTCAGGAAAACATGGTAACTGCAGGTTCCTCCCCCCTTGCACATTGGATTGGCACCTCCTCCCCCCAAAAAAAGGATAAAAAGCACCAGAGTCATGACAATGACCAGCCACCAGTGTGATTATACTCTCAAGTTAAATGCAATCAGCATACTGTGACACAGGCAAACCCAAAATATTTTCCCATTCATCACTGCATTAATATAACCTTATAACATCTACAGTTAAGTATTATGAAGAATATCACAGAGGAAGAGCCTTTCCAGGTCAGTAAAGTCTTCACTATGAAAAATAAGTCACAGGCGAGGAAACATGTATTCTCTTGCCCACATGATCACGTTATTTCTGGAAAGCACTAAGAGTCAATTCCCTAGGAGAGAAAGGCATTTCAAAGAATGTAAATCCACTTAGCAGAAATTAAAATGAATGTTAACTTTGTTCGTTTCTTTTGCCCAGGCGAAAGGCAATTCAAAGAGTCTTAAGAGTGGTAAAGCTTAGGAAACAGCAAATCTCACTGGTGAATAACTTGATTTACCTTTGTCACCTAGAAGAAAAAGTGCAGCCTTTTAGCCACAAAGACAAATCTTGGGAAAAAGTTGGAGAAATGAAGAAAACCGCTCCAAGCTGAAGAGAATGATAAATTCAAGTAAGACAGAGCCTGTCCTCACTGCAATGTTAATTCAAGCATTGCCTCAGCCTATGCACACAGACAAGTCTTCTGCTTAAATTAGGTAGTACTTTAACCCTGAGCTTGCTGGCCCAGCAGCACAATTCAAACACCAGTGATTCTTGCACTGCCAATACAGCAAGGCCTTAGCTAATGCACATTGCTAACCTCATCACTGCTGCTGCTTGACTGCTGTTCAGCAGTAAGAACATTAAAAAGGGAGGGGAAAAAAAACAACCCACAAATAAAGTGTTGCACTGAGTCAGACTGTAGATGATCTACCCAGTTTCCTGCCTCTTAGCAGCCGCCAAGTCTTACAACAGGGCACGCATGGAAGGAGCAGTGCTTCTCCAGAATACTCCCTCAGCTGCCAGCAACAGCATCTTGGGGATTTCCTGAGCCAAAGGTGGTGTCTTTGTACTTAATAATCCTCTGTGGATTTTTTCATCAGTGCAACAAAACAAACCGAGTAAGCCTTAAGTGGAATGATAACTTAACTTAAGGAATTCAAAAGCCACACGAAGAAATAAAGGTAAAGGACTGGCAGGCAGAGTTAGAAACTCGACCGTCCCTGGCAAGAAGGAAAAAAGGAAAACCTTGCGCAGAACTTCAGTCCAAGTTCTACATTATCCACTACCCTTCGAGAATCAAGAGTTTCTCATCAGTTTTTCAGTTTATGTAATCACAAGATAAGAATCCTAGAGGCAGAGCTATTACTCAGAAGTTCAACCATATCACCTAGGAGAAGAATGTGGATTCTGCTATGCTGGGAAGAGCCAAAAATGCTGTTTTTTTCATTAAAGTATTTCAAAAGGAAAATAATTCTTTTGCAAACTCAAGTATTTAAGGTGATCCTAACTTAGTTGGCAAGTCATTATGCTTTGGTTGGACTTTAGTACAGTATTTACCATTCTGACAATACGTAAAAGAAAATGAAAACTAGTTTTTACTTTGCACATTTTCTCCTCTCTGTTTTCCAGGCCTACAGAGATTAATGAAACGCAGCAGTGATTTGATACAATCATGCTATACTGAAGCTTCCCTAACTGAAGCCATAAACACGTAAACAGGCACAGCTGCTTTCCAATTTAAGATAAGCTTCCTTGATTTCTTCTGAACATTATGCTTTTCAAGAAACAGACCAAGAAATATATGTTTTTAAATATTTATTTTTCTTCAAACAGTGTCACTCTTAATGCTTTCATTCACTCCCTAACTAGAAGTGTAGGTGCCGTGAAGCTCTCCTACCAAGCTGCTGCGTTTGTGTGAAGCTCTATTCTGTGTGTCACTGTCCTACCACATCCTAACAGACCTCAAGACATACTTTGTCCTCTCCAGCTATAGTAAGGCATAGGCAGCTGTCCTTTCACCACTTTCTAAAATCTCTCTTGACCACAAAGATTGTGTTCATAGTGTAGCAGGGTAGGGGAAAAACAAAAATAAAAGAAAAAAAAAAAAGAGGCTGTACCACCATCACAGAACAATTTTACTATCTGTTTCTCTTACCCACCACTAACTTCCAAAGGTGCGGTAATTTGTACTGACAGGATCCCTATCAATTCAAGACAGTATTAGTTAATGATATTAATTTCCCTCTGGTTCTTCTTGAAAAAGATAGCAGCAACAATAAAAACACCACTGCTAGCTTCATTCACAGTAGCAGAACAACTTCAGTAAGTAAATTAACATTTTTTAAAATCATAATTCAAAGAACCAAACTTTTTCAATATACAACCCCCAATACTGGATGGCTTGACACCCATATCAGATGATGTATCAGATGATCATTCTTACTCTTTGTCACATCATAGTGGATTTCAAGATCCTAACATTGGCTAATTCTTAAGAACTCCAGAATAAAATTAGAATGATTTTCCTACCAGCCAAAAACATAAAAAAAATAGCACTGCTATCACTATTTGATTAACAGCACCATCTGAGTATTTAATAATTAGCAGTACTAATGTAATGCAAACTGGCAGAATTGCAGCACAAAATCTAGCTCTCTACAGCCTAGCAAAGTAACTGTTCCTTAAAGGCTGTAATTAGAATTTCTTTCTTTCTGTCTGGCCCCTGCCAAACCTAGCTCACACAGGCAGCCCTGCTGATTTCAGTAGCACTATCTATTGAGTGAGGTTACTCACACAAGAAGGAATCTGCAGGTCTAGACCCTTCCATCTTGATTTATAAGCATGAAGCACATGAGTCTAGCAGGAATTTAACACTTACGCTTCCACAGTTGTTCTTACAGTCTGTTCCTCACCATCTTCATCTGAGCTGCTACATGTTGCATCAGAGTCCAGATCCTTCTCCACACGAGACAGCAGCCCTCCAGCAGAAAGTGCAAACCCCCGGATTTCACCTGGTGCAACGCTAACTCCATTTTGGAGGTCCGTACTCAAACTACTCTCCAAAGTAGTTGTGGTGTTTTCTGGCCAACCTTCAGTGCACCTGAGGGAGCTACTGCTCAAATATCTGGTTGGCTCATGGAAAACCTTCATTCTTTGTAGCTGATGTTTCACGAAGCATTTCAGCTGCTGATCACAGTGTTTGATAACATGCTTTGCCAGGAGCATTTGTAAACGTTTCTGAGTTCTTTTGGCGCGACTGATTTCCATTTGTTGCTTAGTGACACACTGGAGTAAGCGAGCATACACCTCCTCCGGGGTGCAGCTCAAAATCCCTTCTGAAGGCCCGTGAAGAATTTGGTGTAATAAATCCCCTTTTATTGTTTCAGCGCAGACTTCCAAAGCCCTACCCAAAAAACCATTCTTTTTGTACCATTTACCACTTAAAAGCTGCATTTCTTCTGCATTACTGGATTCAGTTACATTTGAATCCAAAAGTCTCTGTGTTTCTGACAAATTCGGAGATGTGGTCTCTGAAAATGTTTCCCCTTTGACCTGTTCCTCAGATTCTGAATGACTAATCCGATCAAATGATGTGTCAGCACCATTATGTAATGAATTTCTCATCTTGGAGCAGTCGGGCGCTCTCGCTTTCGTTTGCTTACCGGTTTTGTTGCTAAACGCAGAATTTGTACTCATTAACAAGACAGACTGATAGTGCTTGGAGGATGGTGGAGAACCAAAATGCTGCACACTGAAGATATCATTCCTGAGGTTGGGCTCAGCAGTGGGGAACCCCAGGACTGAGCAAGTAATCTGTGCGATGGAGTCCTCTTTTATCTTCTCTTCCACTGCTCTGGAATTTTCCATGCACAAAGCTGTATCAGACTCCATAGCTCTAGAGGACAAAGAAGGTGACAAGTGGATACCATGACCTTTTGTTGCTGCCTCTCTGAGGGCTGGTGTCATTATAGCTACGGTAGGTAGTTTACAGCAAACCTGAAAATAACATGGGCCATGTAAATTTTTTCATTTTGATGACAGTACAAATATAACAACTGTCAGGTATTTCATTCATTCAACATTTCAACATTATTCAAAGATTCCATAAAAAAGGACATTATCTAAGGAACATGGATAGACTACACTTCCTACCAAGTCAAACAAGAACATTCCTCCTGTTTTTTCTATAATTCATTATGGAGTTGTTCTATGTGCAATGAAAGCCTTTACCTCTCAGGGGAGCAAGTGTTCATACCTCACTGCATTTCTGATCCTATCAGTCTGAGAAATAAGACTCACAAAGTTCAAGACTGTCATCTAACTTTGCCCAAACTGAAAAACACGACCATAAAGCCATGTGACTGGAAGGATGCATTTTAAAGTATGTGTGCGAGTGTATGTATGTGCACACAGAGATGCACATCTACACACTGGCACCCCAGAAGTCTCACTGGATTTTATTTTCATCTGCTCTAGAGATGAGTTACTTTTTGAGTTGCATTTGGTTTTCATTCAAGTATTGTTTGTTTAATATTTAAATGAGTCAACATCAACAGTAGCACAGAAATGGGAGCTATGCAGCTACCTATTACAAGTTCAGCAAAGCATTAACACCTACCACATGATGAAACACTCTGAAATAAACTCAGAGGCACTACTGAGAGTGCCTATATACTTAATATAAAGCTATATACATTAAGTATACATATACTTAATGTAAAGCTATATAAAGCAAGTATTTGATTAATTAATTATTATATATTCTCACAAATACACTTTAGAAACTAATCATCAAGGCTAATGCTTTAAAACCAGAGACCTGTGTTCTAAATGTTTCCTAATAAAAATAATCTTTCCTGTGCCTTTGTATCCAGTTGTTTATTCATCAGGCACTGCTTGCATAATACAAACACAATATTCTTTGCTAATCATTTGAGTAAAGACAAATGGTTTTCCTTTATAAACCCTTTTGCCTGTGGCTTGCCACAGGTTAGATGAAGGGTTCCTAAACTTTGGGATCAACAGGCCAGTGTCAACCTTCACCACTTCTTGTCAGCAGCTATGCTGCCATGTCACACTGTATCTATTCCACAGCCTACAGAGCAGGAATCACACTGCCTTATGCTGTACTTTCAGCTTTGTTTAGGAGATGGTTAAATAAACCAAATGAAAGATTTAATTGAACATGGCCTAGAGAAGCCTGAAAGATAAGCTACTGTCAGTTCTTCATTAAGAAGCTAGAGACAAAACAACAAACAATAAGACAGCAGTAACAAAAGTGAGTGTAGCACAGTAGTTCCACAGTAAAGTCTCTTTTTAACCAGTGTACTAGTTGAGCAGCATTCCCATTGCCCTCCTTTCAATGTCTTCCGTTTCTTTGATCTCCACAGCAACTGCCTAGCTCAGCAATTTCAATGCACAGATCCCATAAAGGGTCAATGATTCTGAGACTGCCACGTATGGATCTTAAGAAAAGCAAACTCCCTGTCTGAAGCCTTAGCTTGTTTATAACTACAGGTTTCATGCTGAAGTTGCAAACATTAAAGGGAGATGTGTAAACCAAAGGAGCTGAGAAGTACCAGTCTGGATACTTTCTCCTTAACCCTACAAACACACAGAAAAACCTAAGAGCCACATGCTCCAGTACTGCCTTAACGCTCTCCATATGCTTTATTCACCTTTCATTGCTCCACATTGTACTTCAACCATGAGATCTTCATCTCTGTACATACCCAGCACCACAGGAACCAGGTTTGGTGGTCCTAATGCTAATCCTAAATGATACCATTACCTAGGACTCTAACCTTTATCAACAAGCCAGTAACTTCAGTTTACAGAGGAATTCAGCACAAAGTCCTCCCCAGTGGACAGCTGTTCAGCAAGAGCCCCATTCCTAGGATCAGACAGGAAAATGCACTGATGAGAGCTGCAGCCCCCAATTGCAAAGACTCTGGTGACTGGGCAATGCTCTCAGCATCTGTCTGACTTGTGGCTTTGTGTCTTTCCACTCTTGTAAGAGCTAGCAGGCACAAGAATCTTTAAATGCAAAGGAGTATGGATTCAGACACCTATGCCTCCCCCTTTCACAGCATATGTTGAATAACTATAGTAAGTGAAAGTGATTTAGCATGGCTAAAACATGAAGGCTCCGGAGAGAACTGAAGCCCACTTTCTCTGTGGGGTTACTATGAACTCAAGGGATCACAGAATCATTAAGGTTGGAAAAAGCCTTTAAGGTCATCAAGTCCAACCATCAACCCAACACCACCATGCCCACTAAACCATGTTCTGAAGCGCCACGTCCACACATTTTTTGAAAATTTCCAGTGACGGTGACTCCACCACCTCCCTAGGCAGCCTGTTCCAATGTTTGACCACTCTCTCAGTAAAGAATTTTCCCCTAATATCTAGTCTAAACCTCCCCTGGTGCAACTCGAGGACCATGTTAGATCTGTCCCTGAGAACTCCAAGAAGCTCTCCCAGAAGAACGCTGTCAGCCTGGGATCTACATGCACTGAGCAATGAGTTTATAACTATTCCAACTTTACCATCTACCTTCCTTATCCCAAGTGGTTTAACAGTCATAGATTGCTACTCCTGAACACCAGGAAACATCCTTGCAGAGGTGCTGCTCAAGCAAACAAGAAGTTTGGAGATGTGTATTTCATACCTTTGTGAGGATGGAGGCTATTCAAAAAACTGGTAGCACAAAATTTCCAGAGTGCTGTATTTTAACTTGATCATATTCCCTCAAACACTACATATCCTTCTGGTACAGTTTCAAATTTCCTAAATGGCAATGAATGCCATTAGCAAATTATTCCAAGGGTTTTTTTTGAGTTTGGGGGACTTTTTTCCCCCCTCTTTTAGGAGACAGAGGGGAAGAAATCGAAGTACCGTCAAAATGAACCATAAACATTAAACTAAAGAGCACCAACAAACCACGGACTAATCAGGAGTCCCTGACAGAAGACGCTTAAATTACAATACAGCTAAAAATATAAGTAAAATGCTTTTGAAGAGAGAAATTGCTCAATTAACCCCTTACCCAGCAACTTGCAAACTTCACACAATGTTTCTGCCGTGAAGACAGTCGTGTGAGACACTTCAGGTGTGTTCCTCTCATTTCAGTGACATCAAAAATACTTTAAAAAAGCTGGTACTGTGCCAATCTGCAGTCATTGGCATTTCTCCAAGAAGTTCACACACATACACTTGTATTGGCATATGGGCAAAACAAAGTATCAGCTGCAAAAAAATTAAAAACAAATTTTACTGCAAGTACTTGGCTCAATAAGAATTGTACAATTTTCATTTTGAGACATTTAATTTCATTTTGGCAGAAAGCAGCAAAAATAATTTCACTCCACCCTTATTGGAAGTGAGTTTCCAGAGCCAAACCTATTATGTCCTAGGGGGAGAACAAACCAAAGTGCAGAGGGAGGGAAGACAAATACTGCAACATGGTATTCAGGAAGAGTCTGTATTTTCATTCTGGGTAAAGCTTTTTTGTCATAGGTAAACCATTTCAAGGATTTTTTCCATTGTGTACTACTTGAGGTTTCAAAACCAGAACAGCTGAAATGCTACTAAACTGGCAAACAGTTTGCTTTTCATCTGCTGAATATGCACTCCACTTGAAAGACTAAATAGTATTGTAAAAAGAAAAGCTGACGTAAAATAAGTACTGGGGAAGGGAAGAAACAAGTACAAGACACGCACAGTGCAGCAACTGATGTTTAAAGTGACTTTCTGCTTATCCTCCCCTAATACCTTAATTACACAGGAGGATATAGCCAGAAATTGCAGTTTACCACAGCCCAATCACTCCCCCAACTTGCATCCTGCTCCCTTCTCTCACCACAGCTATGGGGCCCTAATTCCCAGTGACCTCTGCTCCTCTCCTCCCTATTACCTCCAGTTATTTCTTAGTCCTTACTCGACATTTCCATGTTATACCCTCCTCTACCAGGCTTACCTCAACAAGATTTGTCTACACCCTTAAACTAGTGTCTTCATGGTGGTAATTAGCAGCCCCCTATTAGAATAAACCTAACCAACCCAACCACAAACCTGCCTGCACACAGGGTGGCATTCTCTTCCCAGCTTTTGTTTACAGTCCTTTCACTTTTTGACTCTTCCCCCCTTGCATAACACTACCACTTTTGTTACACAACACTGCAGACAATGTTTTGGGGGATTTTTTTGGTGGGGAGGATTGCTTTTGTCTTTCAGTGGGTTTTTTGTTGTGATCTTTTTGTTTTCAGTGACAATAAAACTCCATTTGCAGAAGGGTTTGTAAGGCTCCTCTGTCCCAGCCTTCTCTCTCCCTGTAAATTGAGTCAGCTTTTGTCATCCCAAACACCTGAAACTTTCTTGTTAATAATGAGACACCTGGAGACCAGGAGATACAGCTGCCTTCTTTCTGATTCACAGAGTGAAATTTTTTCTCTTTTTTTTTTTTTTTTTTTGCTTTCAAATTCAGGGGCCTACAAATTAATACAGCTGTTCCCAGTTTATTCATAGATTAGCAGTGCTTCGCATAAGCAAAGTTCCAACTTCTATTCCTTGTCTAGAAGGCATTTCAAAAGCAAAGCAAAGCCACTAGCAGCAGACCGCATCTGGTGAAACACCCAAAATTAAGCTCTGCAACAATGTTCAAAAATATTGTATTTCAAACTGACAAGAACTGCTTTAAGGTCTCTTAGATAAAACCTGCAGAAGAGATGGCAGCTACATGAGCAAGCTTGATCTGCCTACAACACAACTGACAAAACCTGGTTTCCTACAGCTTTGTGTTGTTTGCCCCGTAATCCCTAGCTCCTTTTGGACAGCCTTCCCGATAATCACTGGACAAAAATAAAGCAGTGCTCTGGCAGACAGGCACTACTGCGGCACTGCCTTAAGCTGTACTGCCAGGACCGAGAGCCACTGCCGAGCTAAGCGTGCAGGAGCTGACTTTGGGCAGCTTCTCCAAGCCTTGCCTGGTG